AAAATCAATTAAAATATTAGTTGCTTCTCTTGGAATACAGTGGGTACTATAAGAAAAGTTGTATTTTGAGTAGGGAAAAAATAACTTTGTTGTGGAATTCCAAATTACATATAAAGTTATACCTTCTATATTGGGTTTAAAATAATGTCTGAAACTAGGTATGATACAAAAAGTAATAACTACTGAAGACTTACTGGTGGAATACAAAGATGTATTTGAAGGATTAGGTTATTTAAAAGAAGAATATATATTCCAATTAAAACAAGAAGCAGTACCAGTAATTCATTCTCCAAGAAAAATACTTATAACTGTATGAGATAAAGTGAAGAAAGAACTACAAAGAACGGAAAATTTAAATGTCATTGAGATAGTAAGAGAACCAACTGAATGGGCAAATTCAGTAGCCACTAATGTCAAACCTAGTAAAATATAATTAAATTTAAAAAAGCTTTCGAAAAGCTTAACGAACTGGTTGTAAAAGCATCTGTATAAAAATTCTTTGATGTTAATAATAATATAACTCTCTCGGTAAATGCAAGTTCTGAAGAATCAGACACTGTTTCAACTGCAAAAAAATCAACCAATTGCTTATGCTTTCAGATCTTTGATTAAGAACCAAAATAATTATGCTCAAATCAAAAAAAAAAAAAAAAAAATTGTGGTGATGTCTGATGATGCAGCCCAATATGGAAGTAAAGAATTTGCACGATTTGCAAAGAAATACCAATTTAAACACATAACAAGCAGATCATTCCGTACCATGTTCAATGGAAAAGCCAAGGACGTATTGCAAATGATGATGAAATTATTAAAGAAAGCTTGAGCAGATCATGCTGACCTTTACTTAGCATTGTTAGCTATATAGAAATATTCTGGCTAATGATATGTTGGGATCCCTAGCTCAACAAGTAAAACAATAACAACTCTTCCTAGACAAAAAGAGTTGTTGAAACCTAAAGTTGTGAAAACTGTAAAAGAAAAAAATTAAGAAAGAATTAAACAGAAGACATATTATGATCATCATATAAAAGCATTATCATCATTTCACAAAACAGATTATGCTAGGGAATATTACAATAATGACTGGAAAATAGCTGTTGTAGAAGAGGTACTTAAGATTCCCACAGAGCCAAATTAAAACCTTTAGAGTCCTAGAACTTAAAAGATTTTGTGCCCTTACATATGTTTAGGCCAGTTTTTTCTTCTTTCCTTTTCTCTCTTGGTTTTGCTTTGCTGCACCATGCATTCCATGGTAAATCCGGTAATGCGAAATTTTTCGCTGCCCCCTATCCTTGAATACCAGAGGATTTTTTAATGGTGTCCTCTTTTCTTGATGCCTTAAGAATGTGCTTAATTGGTAATCTAGAAAAAATTGCTTAATGGTTAATACAGCCATGGATGTCCAGATCAGATCAGGAGAAGAAATAGGAAAGATATTACAGACACTAAAGAAAACAGTCAGCTTCTGGATAGAATGTGAAAAAAAAAAAAAAAAAAAAAACAGAATATGAAGTTACCACATAGAAAACAGATGTAAAAAAACATGAACTCCTGAAATTATGAATTACCGACTACTGAACTCCAAAACTCAAAAACAGAGGACAATGAGGGGAGAAACAGAAATGGGAAAGTTATTAAAAAGTCAGCCAGATATTTTAACTGAACTTTTGAATTCTTTAAAAAAAAAGGAAGGGAGATTAACAATTAAAATTTAGTAACTGGCAAATGGATATAAATTGGAGGTATGTAAAAACAGAAGCATGTCAGCATTGTAGTTCTGTTAAAAAAGAAAAAAGAAGAAGAAGCACCCTTAAAAAATAAGCTAATTAACTTCACCTTTTGTATGCAAATTCCATCATACCAAGTATGCAAATGATTAAATTTTTAAGGCTAATGAGTGTTAACTTTGATTATAACATGTATTTTTACTGTGCAAATAGCATCATATAAAATAGGTAAAAACTGTGGACAGGTTATCTTTTCTCATTTTCAGCAGTGCAGTTCCATGGAGACACAGCCAATAATGCTGTTACGGCATTCCCAAAGGCTTTAGATAGTTGGACAACTCTGAACAGGGTTGCATAGTAGGGATGCATGAAGCAGGCTCGGAATACCATGCAATATTCTATCACCTGCAAGGACACAGTTGTCCAAAGATACTGGCAACAATGGTTGCTCCAAGGTGGAATTGGTGGAAGTTGGACAACTTTGAACAGAGTTGTGTAGTAGGGATGCATGAAGCAGGCTCGGAATACCATGCAATATTCTATCACCTGCAAGGACACAGCTGTCCAAAGATACTGGCAGCAATGGTTGCTCCAAGGTGGAATTGGTGGAATCAAGACTCTGGAAAGCGAATGTGCACAAATGAAAGGCAAGATTGGAGAACTGTGCAGCAGACTCGAACCGTCTCAATGGTATCATTGTCCATTATCCAACATGCTACAGCCCCCTCCATACCACTTGCCTTCTCACCATCTCACAGCACTTGCGCTCACATCAGTCTTTAAGACTTTTGCCTTGAACCCCCCAACATCGACAAAAGAATCTGGAGGGGTGTCCTAGCTGATCATAATGGTTGTCAGCCAACTGGCATTGCATAGTGTTCATCGATTGTGTGGAAGGGTCAGCAGTGTCATTCAGTCTTTGATTTACAGAGATACATAGCTACTACCTCTAGTGCGATGCTGTGGGATGCTATTTCTTATAACAGCAAAGTCAACCTTAGTCATCCTGCAGCGACTTTAACAGCTTAATGTTATCTGATGGCATCCTGCAGCTATTTGTATTACCCTTCATGCCATACTTTCTTGAAGCTATTTTCCAACAGGATAACATAAAACCCCATATGGTTCACATACCTCTGGACTGTCTCCAAGCTGTTGATGTTCTTCCTTGGCCGGCAAGCTCACCAGACCTTTCACCAACTGAACATGTAAGGGATATGGTAATTTGCTGGATTTGAGCACCACAAAATGTCCTAGATCTGGACAACTGAGGAATACTTATCAGAATCTATTGCAGGATAAGATTAGGAATCTTTATCACTCCTTATCTCAACAATTGCCACCAGCAGGGGGTTTTGCCAATTATTGATTCAAACATTGAATGTGCAATTGCTAGCCACTTATGGTTCCTATGGCCCCGAATTTTTAATCATTTCCTTATGTGTGTATGAGCTTTACTCATATTTAGTTTCAATAAAAGCAGGCACATTCTTCACGGTGCTTTTCTTAATTAAAAAAAAAGCATAAATAGTTGCACTCTTTATTTAATTTTTTATCTTTTCCATTATGTATCTGCCATCCTTTTTGGCAGATTCTTTAATTGTAAACAATTTCTAATTAAAAGAATAGTTTATAGATAACAATTTATTATTACAAAAGATTTTTCCTTCTTTATTACTAAAAAAAAATCAGCTGAAATGAAAAAGGACACTAAATAGAAGACATAAATAAGTGCTAGTATGGCAGAAAACATTTCAGCCTTTGAATATAGGTGGTGCCACATGAATTCTACCAAGTTAAATATTGATGGCAGTGCCTCTTTGGCATTTGTTCTGCCATTCAGTTCTGCCCAAGGAATGTGCCACAGACTGAGTATGACAACCCATGATTGGATCAATAACATTAAATGTATGATTCACCGTGGAGTGAAAAATTTTCCTGTAGCTTTCAACTCGGATGATTTGTAACCTTTTAAACAATCCAAGAATATGATTGTTTCATCTGCTGTATTATTCTCCATCACGTCCACTAAAGTCTTAGCACAGCAATCTGGAATAGCTACTAGGAAGCATTCTCCTGTTTTTCAACACAAAGTTGTGAAAACTCACTGTGGAAGTAATATGTGCAACACCGAAGATAGCAAAACCATTTAGCCTTTGGCAGCTGTTTGACTTTCATCAGATGCTTATTTGAATACAGTCTTTCTCTATTTTTATAGATAAGACTTTTATCTTGAAAGAATATAACTGTCACTTGTTCCTTGCTTGGTAAATCCAAAATTTTCAAATCCATTGCAATAAAAGCAAAAATCGAACACACAAACCAACGCATTTAAAACTGCATAAGGGAAGCAAGTTGACAAATGGTTTAGTCCTCAGATGTAGCTAAATAACTTAATAAATTTAAATTAATTAAAATTTTAAATGTTAAGCACAGCATTCTTTCCCATTATGCACCTGCACACTTTTTTGCACATGGCAGGTGATGATCTATTGGCAATCATCTGCCACGTCATATGTGTATTTGTCATCTACAAACTATTTTCATAACTAGAAGCCGTTTATAATTTAAAAAACCTAACAAAATGTAAGAAAATGTGTAGCAGGCACATAATGGAACAGTACCCTTTATTTTATACTACTGTGTTACAATGAAATCATAAAAGTAAATTAATTACATTTTGGTGCAGAATATGAAATATTTATATAGTAAAATCATTTTAAATAACAAAAAAAAAAAAAAAAAAAAAAAAGGTTATGCCTCAGCAAATATTGCTTATTTATAACTACGAGTGCTCCTGTAAAGAAATTGCTTATTATTCACTAAACATTAAACTTACCTTTTTTAATTTCTAATAGTGTTAATATTACTAAAAAGATAAGTTATTTATTACTGGGGGAAAAGTTATTGTTTTTAAAATGCTTACATTCAATTTGAATTAGTCACACGCTAAAAGTATTCTTGCAAATGAATATTAGTTATGTAAGAAAGATGATTATATACAACTAAATTTATACTTAGAAAATGCATAAATTGTATAAAATCATACATGACACAATACAATGAATTGTTAAAATAAAGATAAATCTAAACATTATTACAATTTTATAGAAATTAATATTACTCAGAGATTAGTTTACATATGTAAAATATATTTCTTGTATAATTTCATAGTTTTAATAAACATTAAAACCTAATTACAATTTAAAAATAACTTAATTATAATTTTAATTACTAGTAAATACATAAGATAAAATAACAATATTAAATTACCACTCCACATTTTCCATAGACTATTGCTTCATTGCATGCATACTCAACAATCTGCTGAACAGAATACTTTGACATTGGAGTACCTAAAATGAATTTTAAAAATCTACATAAAAGAGGTTACAAATAAAAATTTTAACATAAAATCTATTCATTCCCCTATGTGATAGATTCTTAACATTATGTAGCAAATTAAAAACAGACTTTTGCATGGCTATTAGATAAATACACTACTTGTGGATAGCTTACATTAAGTTTGTGAAGTATATCAGGTAAGGGAACTCTTTTCAATAAAAAGATTTTTAAGTGAATCAAATGTTACTTTTGCCATTGGATGTTTACTTAAATACAGAAAAACATTCACTTTTAATAGGTATCACAATTAAACCTTAATTTTTAAAACTAGGTATATATAACAAAAAAAAATCTAGTTTGCTACTTTTAAATTAAATAACAGAAAGAATTTTAAAGTGCCCATCAATGAAATGTTTACCATTTATAAAATTAAGGTATGTAAAATAAATTCAACAGGTAAAACAGTTTTAAAAAAAATCATCATCAAAATTTAGTGCATTTTATACATGTAAAGTATTAACTGTAGTAACTGTAGTATATACTATATGTCAGGGCTTAATTTCTAAAATTAGAAGTGCCAGAGCCCTATTGAAGACAGTCAGAAAAAAGGAACAAAAGTAAATAAATAAATAGACTAATAAAATTATTAATAATATAAAAATTAAATAGCTAATTATTATCAAATTAATTAAAAGTTATTTAATTATTAGCTATTAATTATTATTTAATATAAATTAACTGTTATTTATTCATTATTGATCAATTATTATTTAATTAATTATTAGTTAATTAATTATTAGTTATTTAAATAATTAAAGATTATTAGTATTAAATAATTAAAATTGAATAAAATGTAAAGAGCTAAATTAAAACTAAATAAGCGATTTTTAATAGAATTTTATGGCTAAAAATAAAATTTTCAAGATATAATTTCTTCTGAAATTGCTGTTCCAGTTACACAAAAAAATTGCCAAAGCTTTCTAGTTTAGGGCTCCAGCTAAAACTTATGATTTATCACCAAAACTAAGAAGTAACGGAGCTGTGCTCTGGTTCAATTTAAGTTCTGCTATATATATAAGGTCTACCGCAGAGTTCAGTCTAATAATGTTATTTCAACTTTCAACACACATTCATTTGAGGTACATATGGCTATCTCTCTTTATCATCGCATTTATACACATGTGTTTTTCTAAACTAACTGACAACAAAACATGTCTTGTAACATCATCAGGTGAGAAGCGATTATGTAAACATGGCTACTGATAAAGTTCATTTACGACATTGTATTTTGACATTTCTACAGAAGCATGTTGAAATTTGGTGAAAGTTTTTGGGGGAAATGCAGTTTTGGATAGTATATACAAGAAATGGTTCGAAGATTTTGAGGCTGGTCATTTCAACCTTACTGATAAGCTGCACTAAGGGCAGGCATCCTTGATAGAAAATGATATTGTAAGGACCATGACAGAGCAATATCTTTTTTTTGGCAGCACTGGAGATTATGAAAAAGCTTATCTCAGCTCAGCAAATCATTTCAGACCATATTCAGAAACTAGGGTTGGTTATAAATTTTCTAAATGGATACCTCATGAGTAAAGAGTGAAAAAATTGCACAACTGAGTCATCATATGCACATCTCCACTCAAGCTCAAGAAAAAGGAACAATTCTTGGACGGGATGATAACTGGCGATGATGAGAAATTCTGCCACATACACCATACTCTCCAAGCTGAGAACCTTCTGATTATTACTTGTTTTTATTCTTTCAAAATTTTTTTAACGGAAAAAATTCAAAACTGAAGAAGATATCACCGTAACACTACTTTTGCCGTAGTTCTTTGCCTCTAAGGACAAGACATTTTTCAAAAATGCTATTTACAAATTACCATCATGCTGGCAAGAGGTCATAAGTAATGACGCAAATTATATGTACAATAAATATTCTCAAAGGCATGAAAAATGTGTTATTTTCTTTCATTTGCCAAACAGACAGAATTTTCCAGTAGACCTTATATGTAAAATACTACACCAATCAATTTAATACAATACATCATTATATTAGAAAAGGCAAAGAGAAAAAAAATGTGTGCACCATGGATGCACTCAGCTGATCATGTTTACATTTACAAAACAAGTGTTGCTACACTTTATTTATTTATTTTAATTTGTGATACTATTTGTATTTGGAATATAAACTGATGAAGATAGCTGGACCAAATTGGAGTTGTGAAAAGGGTTAAAAATTGATTTCCCCTTCTGGACTGTTTATCCACAAAGTTTCACTGTTAGCACCCAAAAATACTAATTCAGTATTTGAAAACTAAAACTGTATATTTTAAAATTCCAATAATAAAATCAATAGGATTCAGGTTAAAATAATAATTAATAGAATCAGCATCATATTTGTAAATTTTGCAGGACATTTTGATGGTTCAACTACAGAACCATAACCCTAAGATGCCAAAGTGCAAATGAACAAGATAAGATACTGTGATATGATAAGAATGGCTGTACAGTAGTTACGCTACTGCGTCATCTATTGATGAAACAAGAAAATTAAAATATAAGTTCCTTAATGTCTGAAGGTAAACATGGATTGGAATTAGGTCATTAACTAGAACATAAAGTTTTTTTGAATGTGAATCGCCTCTAAAAAAATCTAGTTCACTAAGGGAATATGTTTTTTCAATAATTTTGGCTGCAGAAAATTGAAAAGTGCGATTTTTGGACAAACAGTGCTAGGCAACAGAGGACTTCTGTGTTTCATTTTTCTTAACAAATGCCTCATGTTCTTTAAAGTAAAATTTTAAGGGTCTCTTAGTTTGACCAACGTAAATTAAACCACATTGGAAAAAAAAATCCTGTAAATACTGCAGGAATTCATATCAATAATGGGGTTTTTAAATATGAAGTTGAGAATTTTTTTGGTAGAAGAAAAAACTAGACTTCCTAGAGGCATTGCACATTCAAAAAAAAAAAAAAAAAATCTTCTTGCTTCATCAATAGATGGCACCAATAGCTTAACTCCTGTCCAACCATTCTTATCGTCATATCTTACCATTCGCATTTTGGCAGCTGAGGAATATGGTTCTGTAGTTAAACCATCAAAACCAATCCTGCAAAATTTACAAATATAACACTGATTCTTGTTGTTTGACTATTATTATTATCCAATAATCAATAGGATATTATAAGCCCTATTATTATTATCAAATTTTAAAATTTGTGTTCTGAAAACTGTTTTGCTGTTAGGTTTAAGAAATTATGAGATAACTGGCATTAAGGCATGAGTTGCCTACTTTACTTTTTGTTTCCTTTATGAATATTTGGTAGTGACATTAGCATCTTGGTTAATATCCTTCAGAAAGGCAAAGAAAAAAAAAATGATAAAGAAAAAAGAAGAGCAAAGAAAAAAAAAGTGTGTGGTCTAAATATGCACAGCTGATGTTTACATTTATAAGCAATGTTTTCAAAAATGAAAATAATCAAAACCATACATTTATAAGTAGTGCTTTCAAAAATAAGAATAATCAAAAATAATCTGAAGAGCTCATTGATCAGTCAAAAAAGTTTAGTTCTCTCTTTGTGTTCAACAAGTTAACATCAATATTTACATATAAAAAAATTATTATTATTATGAATTAAAATTGATTGATTTATTTGATTCATTAGAGAATCAAGAGTCTTATTAATATATAACTAAAGGCCTAAAAGATTTTTTAAAAAATTAATTATATATGATTATATGGAACTTTTATTAGTAATACCTATTAAAATGAACAAAAATATGAAATTGACACCCAACTTAAAAAAAAACCTGGAAAAATCTAATATTCAAATAACTCCTGTTAACTGAAATCTATTTTTCCCTTCAAACTAAAAATCATGGTGAATGAGTTCACATTCCACATTCAAAATTTTTTAAACTTCATTCATTTGAAGGTGCAGTTTTGAAACATTACTTACAAACTTCAAAACAAACATAAGTCAGTTTAATTTCACAATGATTTCAAATGAAGAGACAATACACAAGTCAACAGAAATTCCAACACAGATCTTTCAGATATAGGGCTTCAAAAACTTATGAACAGATGGGGAAAATAAAAAAATCTTGTGAATTTTAGAGCAAAATAAAAACATCATGAGAAAATACTTGTTTCAAGTAATAAAATATATTCAAAATTTCTCTTTTGAAATCTGAAATAAACTACATCTGAATTTTGTGTATTTTGAAGGTTAAAATTAACAATTCCTTTCACATTTCTTATATTAAAAAATTAAAATTTGTTCAGCATCTGAATTACCTTAGACTGCTGATAAAATGCAAGATAAAGTATTTTAGGCTGACACACTAAAACCATGTTTAAATAAAAATAAAAGTAGGAGCTTTTACAAACGACCTCTCCACTTCATCAACTGAAACTAGAATGGATAATTTGATCAAGTTCTCTTTCCTTTCCCAGTTGATGAAGCAGATACGTCTTCTCCGAAAGTTTCTTTACTTTTGCTTACATGGTTTCAGAGTGTTGCTAAAATATTTTATCTTGTTTTTAACTTCCCAGTTTATTTTTTACTATGTTGATCAATAATTTGTGAAAGATTAATTTCAAAGGAACAAACTGTAAAACACTTACTATTAGCATATTAGGCATGATGTTCTTTCACCATATCAAATGCAGCCATAAAAGAAAATGCAGAACTGATAGTGAAGAACTTCAATGCCTTGAATGCAGTCACAATGATCTAATATTCATAAGCAAAAATAATAAACCTGATTTGAAGAATGTATGCCTTATCTCCATAAAGAATGTGAATTCTGAGCTTATGCAGTAATTGATTCCATTTTCCTTTCAATAGATTATTAAAAAAAAAAAAAAGAATTCAGTTTCTTTTATGGAAGATGATGATATACATATTATAGAAATATACAGATTTCTAGGATTTCAGAATCAGAACATTCTTGAAGATATCAAGGAATTTAATTCTAAAACTAAAGGAAAAACTAAGATGGTTTTAAATGAAATGGAGACAAAAATCTTACTGGCACTTAGGTGAAGGTCCTTTAAGATACTGATTCAGATGAACATCAAATGCAATAGCTTAAAAAGGAATAAAAAAAATATTCTTACCTACTACAAATGAATACTTTTATTTTTATTTAACATATTTATTGATCAAAATTCATTGTTTCAGTACAACTCTCTGTATTTTAACATTGCAAGCAAGAAAAAATACTGTCATAACTTTTCTTGCTGATATACATACAAATTATTGCATAACTTCAGGATATTACTGTATTGGTACATCAAATTATTTCAATGCTACATCAGAATGGTATGATTATTTCATTTTTGCACAAATATGGTCATTGACAGCAGTCATTAAAAAGGGGGAAATGAAATACATAACATATAGGAGATCATGAATAAATGAAAAATATACAATAGACTAAACAATTTTTAATGCACCCACATATGAAAAAAAAAATGAAACTATACAACAGGTTATAAAAACATAACATACCATATAAATGCCAAAGGGGACAGTACTGTTCTTTTAAAAACATGCTATGCTAGACAAAAAAAGCATTACAAAACACTATAAATTCCAATATACTGAATTTTTGTTTAAGAAAATACTTCCATAAAACTTCCATTTCTTTGTCATTTTCAACACTACCAGTAGTGATATTTTCTGGATTTAAAACCATACTAGAGACTTTGTTGTCCATTATTTGATAGTGATTAGGCATTGTCATGTAATGAAAAACTTATATCACCTTCATTTACTATCACCTCTCCACAAATTCTATTAACTTGAAAATTTAGCTTTCAATAACATTTAAAACCTATAACAAAATAAGACTCCTCTTCTGGCTAACTCATAAATCACTCTTTGGTTTTAACCAAATGTAATTTTCTTATGGTCAGGCACTATAGAAGGCAAGTATCAAATATGCTTTAGCTTTGCAGATCCTGCTAAAGCTCCAGAATCAAAAATTATTTTCAACATAATAAAAAGACCCACCAGCGGCCAAGCGGTAAAAGCCGCTGAACACAGGTAGTTCGGTTTGGGGTTTGATTCCCGGCGAATGGGCTGGCTGGATGGGCGTTTTCATGTTTTTCCCCATGTGTAACGTGTTTAACATTCATTCCTGTTTCAAAAAAAAAAAAAAAAAAAAAAAAGAATGGCAGTGGTCTGAAGGCCTGAATATTAGATCATTATGGATATTGGATGGACTTTGTACTATACTATCAATCGTGAGATAGAATACACTCCACTTCAAATTAAACAGTAAAATTTTAAATTATTAAATGCATCATGAATATTAATGAATTTGTAAACATTAAAGGAAGTCAATATATGCAAGAACTAAAGCTCATACAAGCAAGAACAAAAATCTGAAACTTAATTCTAAACTTTAACATCAATTTAACTTTACATGATTTAATAGCTTATGTACAATAAATTGTTTTGTAACCTAAGTAAAAGAAGGCTTTTCTCAATAATGACTGAAATAGAAGGCAGTGACAAAATAAACAATTAGCAGCTATGTAACATAACATAGCATTTTTTTATTCACTTGACAAAATCCACAAAATTCTTTCAAACTTTACTACATTACATATTATTTCCTATCAATATTTTTATTTCATGAAAAAAAAAGAAAAAGCAAACTTTGACATTTTCGTCAAGACTAAAAACATTAATAGAAAAGTACAAAGTAAAAAATTTAAGATATAATATGATAAATTCCCTTAACATTCTACAAAATTTTTAAAAAGAAAAAAAAAATGAATTAGATTCACAGAAATGGTATTTTACGCCAATACAATAAAATATAATGTAGAAATAATTAGAGATGTTTTATCACGTGTAACATAGATTTCAAATTTTTATAAAACTAAAAATAATTTTTACCTGGCAATGCCTGAACATGAATCATTCCAATAACAGCACATTTCACAGAACTGAATACTTTTCCAAACCTAGACATGCTTCTGCAGATATCACACAGAAAACAAACAAATATTATGAAAGTAATAACTAGGCATGCTGTATAACTGTGCATTCACCTAAATCAAATATTTACAATAAGAAACTTTAAAAAAAAAAGGTACATAAGTGAGGAAGAGCATTTACAGAAGAAATGCATACAATCATGCAGTCAATGAAGTTTACATACAGGCAATATTATGAATAAAATTACAACATTTTAAAAACTAATATAGGATTTTAAAAAAATATACTAATATAAATCAGCATAATTTAAAATGAAAAAAAAATCATATACAAAAGTAAAAAAAGTCATGATTAGGTCATACATAGCAAATAATAATAATCTACTTTAGATAAAGGGGCAAAAGGTTGTTTTCATTATTCAAAATTAAAATGTTTTCTTCATTAAAGAAATAATGGATTTTTTTTTAAATATATCTATGTACACCTTCACATTCCTTCATCATTTTCACTATATGACCTTTTAATTTATAATAAGTATCTGGTTGAATACTGTGCTGTCTTCTAATGCAGGATAAAGAAATAACAATTAAAAAAAATAGTAAAAATTTCATAAAACATGTGATAAATTTTGACTTCATTCTTGATACTCATAACTTTCAACTAAATGTTACGGATAATCAAGAATTAAGACCATCTATCAACACAGGAATGCAAGAAGAAAATTTACTGCAGTGAAGCTATCTATTTTAGGAAAAGGATACTTTTATATACAGTTACTACAAGAAGTATTTGGACTTCGCTCGGTTATCTAAACAATGCATCATTAAAAAACATTAAATAATGAACAGAAATTTTATTTGTACAGTGTGAAAATTATGTTTAAAGAAATTAAATAAATTCATGCTACTATAAAAAAGGGAAAAAAATTTTAGATTCCATAGCATGGGTCAAACAAATATTCGACTTTTTTTCTGAAATGGGAACAAAAACAATTTATAGTATTATAATTAATATTTTGTAGGATGTCCCTTAGACTTAATAATGGGTTTCTGTCATTTACAGGCTACATGGTGTGCTCACAACCAGTTTTTGTCATGTAATCACTTTGTATTTTATACCGTTCTTTCTTGAAATGCTGTTTTAGTTTCTTCGTATTTGTAGTATCTTTATTTCTGATCTATACCAATCAAAGTCTTTATGCTTTGAATCCTTATCCTGCATGAATACAAAATCTGTTGATAATCCCATAAATTGAACACTGGAATGTATATTTGTAGTTAAAATGTTAAATATACATTTTATGGTCCATTATGCCATCAATAAAATGCAGTTTTCCCTAACCTGCATAAGACATGCATGGTTAAACATAATGGAATGTCCACTTGCTTTATTCTTACTCAGAGATTTCTGAATTCAAAATCTTTATTTGGTTGTCTTTATACCTTACGATTACCATCTTTTGCAAATATGTTACACTTTCATCACTAAATATAACTTTTTTCCACTAAATATAACATAAGTCTAGGGTCTCGTTTACATATTTAATGATAGCCTTTTCTTTCTATTAACTTCAGACACATAATATTTTTTCAAGCTGATTATCCTTCATAACTAAACTCGATACTCTTCTGTTATCAGGACTGGATTCAGTAATATATGTATGTAAGTGTACATATACGTATGCATATATGTGTACATATATTGTATGCATGTATATATGTATGTGCGCATAATATGTATGCATGTATATATGTACATATGTCACATATATGCATACATTTCTGAATCTGGTCCTGATAACAGAAGAGTACACCAAACTCTTTAGGAGCATTTCTTACAGTCTAAGTACAAACTTCTTTCTTGATCAGTAGTTTCAATTTTGGACAACTTAATGCCGAATTTTTTTAACTTATAGTAAAAGATATCATTTATCATAACTGGTCAACCTTTTTGCTCGCTCACTTCTTGTCTTGTTTACAAAATTTGTTGACTCATGCCTTTTTACTACATATTTTAGAGTTGAAAGTGGTCTTTAATAATTTGAGCAATTTTCTCGAATGATTCCAGATTTCTTCATATTAATTACAATTTTCCTTTCTTCAAAAATTATTCTCCTTTAATTCAATTCTATAATTCCTTTCTTCTTCAATAGTTCCTTTTCCTTTCAAAGACAATTTTAAATTTTCTGTTAAAATTTCAAAAATGAGTATGATTCAAGCATAAAAATTTCAAATAATTTTAAGGCAATACTCTTATAACACTTAACAATGCCTTCAAGTGTTACTTTAAACTTTGTAACCCTTCAAACGACTTATGAATGGCCAGAGTTGATTTTTTGGGGGGTGCAATAAAAACAGGTTAGGTTGTTCACTTTTAGACCACTCATATGAGTCTTTTTAAATATGATTTTGCATTTAATGACTAGTATAGATCTTTATAAAGACTACAATAAAAGAAGTTTAATAATAAATAATTAGAATTATTCTTTTATGTCATTTTTAAGGACATTAATTAGTAATATCGAATACTTTTTTGACAAACTATATTTAAGATCTTACTAAGTGAATGCAGATAGCATTTATCCTACAAATAACAAAAATTGTGAAAATGCCAATAAGGCCATCCTATTCTGCAGAATCATCACTTGACTATAAAAATAATATATATTTTATACTAATTAAGATAAACAATTACCATAATTCACAATATTTGAATTAAATAAATTATCATTACTAGTAGTACCAGATTAAAAAGCAGCTTAATGAGGGGTTGCATATGATGCTAGGCATAATGGGTCAACAAATACTATGTCAAATTAGCAATTAAAAATATTATTTCTCTGGTTCTAGTACTCAAGTAGTTTCTAGAGGTTGGGGTTGAACCACAAGAAAAAAACAAGTCACATAAATAAAACCAGTTATAATTCTTTAATTGGAAAATAAAATTACCAAAATGATATGACATCTAATATGAGATACGATTCCTTATTTTCTTAATATGAAATACACAGTATTTCCAATTTACTTTCTTAATTCACAAACTGTTTGCCATTCAACTATGCCTGTATCTGAAACAATCGATAACGACGATGAAGGACATGTGTGTGAGCTCTCTAGCAATCACCGAAGAATCTTTCGAATTGTGTAAGGGTTTGAAGTTTATTCTCAAGCTTGTACTTTTCGACATGGTGTGTAACATAATTTGGAAAGTCAGTGGCTAAGTTGAACTTTTGGTCCTATATGTAAAAAAAAAAAAAAAATTTGGGGTGTTTCTCTCTTCATAATTTTTAATAATAAAATAAGTAAATAAATAAAAGGTAGAGGAAGAGAACCAAGCATAACTTTTTTGAATAACGCCGGCTTTTATCAAGAACTAAATTGATTGCTAAATATCAGAACGCACATCTATACGACAGATAGGTCGAAGACATTTATATTACTGCAAATATTATTAGTTGTTTACCCCCTTCTTTTTTTCTTTTTTAGCCCAGAAGGGGTTACGAGCAAAGAAAGACGAGTATTGAAAGTTTTACCAAGCGGAATCTAGTCATACTTCACTTTTCATTGGAGTTTGTTGCCATTCAGAAAAGCGTAAGATACTGTTCTTTAATATTAAAATTTAAAAATATTACTTTTTAACTTTTCAATCTAATCGATCACAAAAAAAATTTAATTCATTAATAACATTAAATTAAACATTAAAATTAATAACATTAAATATTTTTATAGAATTACATTAAAAATTGTTTGACTTTTTAAATATACAGATAATAATATTGTTGCGTTCTACCAGTTCGTGGATTTGACGTGCCCGCCGTTTATTTCAGTTATTTTTAATTTTTCTAATTAAAATAATAAAATAGTATTTTTTTCTACAGGTTGTGGATTTGGTAAGGCTCCTATATATTTAGAGAGCCTATATATTCTTATGAGCGACACATTAATGTGGAGGAAATAATTTGATTTGTGTCTGACTTTACATTCAAAAATGAGTTGCTAGCTTTTCCGAAAGGTTTGATTTTGTTAAAGGAGGCGTAAATTCTCGATGTGTTACTGAAGCAGAGAGAATTTTAAAAAGTGGATTATTTGGTAATGCTCGGAATTTTACTTGAAAAATCCAATTTACAAATTTTGGCTTCCTATTTAAGGATAAGTTGTATAGCATCTTGATCGCATGAAATCGAAGGACATTTCATTATTAAAAAGGAAAAGTAAAATTTAAAAAAAAATTTCTTGTTCATGTAAAGGAGGAACTGCTGGCTGTTGTAGGAAATTGTGTCACTGTTTTATTGTATTGCGACAGTTAGCTGATTTTAACGTTCACTGATTGTAAACAAATGATTTCATATGTGTTTAGCTTGGGATTTACAAAAAATCTGTGCAGTGAAAAGTGTCTTTTTTTCCATAAAAATGATATTGAATCATTATATACTAAAAATATATTCATCTATTGTATTCGTCTATTATATTTATATCTATTATATACATAATAGCACTAATTATCAGATGCAATTTTGAGAATATCAACAAGCAAAGCACTTAAAAATGAAAAAATAAAATGAGAAATATTAATATTCTATATATATTATAGAAAATACATGCAATGAATAATACCATGACCAAACATTTAAAAAAAGAGCAGATTAAGGATTACCTACCCCTCAGTACTTGAGAAAGCAATGCTGGCATATAACATATAGTTAACTTTTGATTACATGATATTACAAGCATTTTCTTTAGATTTGTCGTACAAGGGGTTAAAACGACTGAAAACATAATGGCCACAACCATAAAAAATAAACGTTTAATTACTTTTCGATCACAACACGCTTCACAAACTACGTAGTATTCTCAAACGTAAATACCAATTTTTAATGTTTCCATCTTTAAGCCACTAGATGGCGTATCTGAGCGCTGGACTCGCGGATAACACTTGACGAAGAATTACTCAGAACAGTTCCAAAGACTCATGACAGTTTTCGAAAAACTACGACAAACACGCTGAAACAATCAGCAACACAACCTTTAGGCTATAACGGCGAAGGTAGCTTCATGACAAAGCACTAAAGTACAGCTCCCGACTCGGCGATCGCTCTCAGAACTCAATACACTACTACTGAACTCAACGTACTCTAGATACGCTCCTCCGCGTAGAGTTAGGGTATATGTATCTTTTGATCAATCTTTTGAACATTCTCAGGAAAACCGCTAAGAATTCGTTCTAGAATATTCTCGCTCCGTCTATGGCATATCGCCAATTTTGTTGCGAAACAGACTATTTCCAGCCAAATCTGGCGACCCTACTTTTTCTTGCACTTTCTGGTAATCCTATCTCCACTTTCCGTGGAAGCTATCTTACCGCAGTTGAGTATTTCGTAGCAATATAATGCTCTTAGTCTAAATGCTTATTTACCTACTATCCTATAAAAAGTTTCACTACTAAACCGGGCGGCTTATAATCGCTATTGATAAGCTATCATTTAAAATTGAACAAGAAAAAATTATAAATGTATCAACTGAAAGAAAATTAACGTTTTTCGCAACAGAAAAAAATGAAGGAAGATCTTAAAACACAAACGTGAGAGAATCGAAGTAAGAAACTATTCTTTTTATTTATTTATTTATTTATTTTTTTAAATTTCTCAACAAAATATTTCCTGGAAGATACCTAATTCGCAAAGTACGGACATTTTATCTCTACCCATTAGCGGAATCTCACAATATAGCGCATTCTCTTCGGTGTCGTAAATAATCTTCAAGTTTCAAGCGACAAACAAGAAACTGTTCCGAGGCCTCAGCTGCTGTATATTTAGTTCGGAATATATATGTCCCAGCCCCCTAGAAAAGGTTAAATCATTGTTTACATTATTGAAGCAGAATTTAAATTTCTGCAGATAAAATATGCATAAAACCCAAACATATGTGTGTGCGTGTGCATTAATAACATTGAATGATGTATGAGTTATAATTTATAGTTCATAACATAACATGAATATGCAAATTATTTGCTTTCAAAGCAAATGTACCTATATATATGTGTGTGTGTGTGTGTGTGTGTGTGTGTGTGAACTGACCCAAGAGGTTGGTGTGGCATTACTAAGCTACACAGCAAGCAATAAAACAAAGACATACAAAAACACATGTATTACAACCATCCCATAACGAAAGACCAAATAGGTCGGAAGAATGTGTAAATAAGAAGTATGATACCCTGTAGCTGAAATGCATGCTTGACAATGGCAAGGCAAGCTAGCAATAGTGTCCCTCATCGCTTGTTATGGCAATGGCGCCCATTCCTGTAGCATATCGAAACTCTTAGAGGGTGCCTGACGGTATACTGCGATCTGCTTTCTGTCGTCGCTACATGTCCCACGCATGTGCTATGGGCTTCAGATCCAGTTGTCCTACAGGCCACTGCAGATGTGGTATGGTATCCCTCTCCAGATAACTCGGTGTCACTGGAGCTGTATGGAAACGGGTGTTATCGTCCATAAGTATCACGTCGGAATACATTGAAGCGATAAAAGGGCGCCTAAGAGGATGTAGAATTTCGTCGCGATATCGAAAGGCTGTGACGGAACCATTAGGAATCATGTAGAGGTCGATGTGGCCGTTCATTACTATCCCAGGCCATACAATTAAGCCGCCTCCTCTGTAATGATCTCCTTGAACGATGTTTGATGCTCTATAACGTATACCTGGCTGTCGCTATATCATTGCACTTCGGTAATCGTTATAGATGCTAAATCGAGACTCATCCATAAAGAGTACTTAGCCTCACTACTCTGGTGTCCAACTGTGTTGTTCACGGGATCAATTCAGGCGCGCTCTATGGGGCAGAGGAACAAAAATCACAAGTCATCGGAGTGCAGTCTACCTTCACGCAGTCGACGCGACACATTTTGGCAGAATATGGGCCGTTCTGCAGCAGGAGAGAAACGCAACTCCAACTGTTGCGGCGTCTTGCACATAGCAACAGAAAGCCGTTGTGGTAGTCCTCCGACTCACGTCTTCTACAGGGATTTCGATCCCTTTGGTAATGATTCCACAGCCTATTGATGACACTACTGTGATCATTCAACTCTCTCGTAACAGCGAATTGTCTTGCAACATCCCGACAGCCTCCAAAGCAATTCATCGTACAAATGGTGTGTTTGGCTCATGCTTTCCTCTTCGGCTATCTCGGATTACACGCAACTATGGCTGCTTGCGAACTAACGCACAAGTCCGGCATGCCCCGTTTTAAGGCGTTGTGGTGTGACTGCGTTTTATGTTAATTTTTGTCGCCTATTTCCATTCGGTAATGTAACCGCTACCTCATATATAAATTGTATATTTCAATTCTTCTTTTTACATTCATATCTTTTCTTTTAGTGTTTGTTGGTTATTTTTTTAGCACGAGTGTAGATATATATATATGAGGAAAGAATTTTGAAAATATAAACAAAATATCCCTTATGTAGAAAAATGTAATCAGTTTTTTTTTTTTCAAAATATTTAGAACTCAGTTCCATACAACGTAGAATTTCCTTTCTAACTCGCAATACCGGAATCCCCCTCCTTTCTTCGCTTTGCAATAAAATTACCTTGTTTCCTATTTTTCGAAGCAGGGATATGATGGACGCATATCACAGGTTGATTTCAAGCTCGTTAACTGGACCTAGCTGCACAACAAAACGTGTTCTCTGTACTTCCATTTAAGCTATGCATAACGCCCGCAACAATCAACAATAAATGTTTAGCTATTTTTCGATCATAATGTGCTTCCTAAACAACGTAGTATGGACGAACAGAATACCGTTCTTTAAGTTTCAGCCACTAGATGGCATATCAGAGGGCTGGAAATGCGAATAACAAATACGCAGTAATCTCTCAGTAATATATAAAATATTAGCATTTGTATAACATAAATAATATGCAGCCTAAGCTTAAAATGTGTATTTATATCCAAACCAAAATTATTAGAATGCATAATTTGCGTAAGAGATATGTATATTAAAATATTCGTTCCTTTCTCTCTTTAATTTCATCGAGTCTTCTTTCTATTTTATCTTATTTCTTTTGAAATTAAAGCAATAATGCAGCTAACTAATGTGACAAATAAAACTGAAGTACGGTAATCATCTCTAAAAAATCCTTATTATTATTTTTTTATGAATTCCGATTTAATTACTGAGCGTACGGCAGATTAAAATGTAATGCGAGTTTTCACTTTTTTCTACCCTCTCCGTCTGAAATGAAACTCATGTTAGGAATAGAGTCCGCAGAGGGAAACTACTTATTTTGTACAATTTTTACAAGTTTTTTTCGGCATGTTCCACCTCATGAACGGTTAAATCGAAAACGAACGGTCTTTCGAAATGCGAGTTTCCTTTTGCGTTTTTCACAAAATTTGAAAACCTAACAGCATACTAAGGTATTTCCTCTTCACCTGAATTAAGATTACATAACCTGA